TAGAAAAAAATAAGTCTTGATGCTGTTGAATATAAGAGCACAGGATGCTACTGGCCTGTAGATGTTTTTGTGTTATGACAATGTCACAGTGGGACTCTGATTATTATTTATCTACATTTTTACAAAACATTTCGATATGATAAATAAAAATGGTAGACCTCCTGTAAGAATATTGAAAGAATCAAAACTGTATAAATGAGGGCCTCCCTGGTGGTGCAGCGGTTGAGCTCTGGGTTGTGAAGCTGCCTGCGGCCTCTGCGGCGCCAGTTCAATCCCGGCTGCTCCCCGGCCACCGGAGGAGGGTCTCACATGGCGCACAAACCTCTCCTGCCGCCCGCTGCTCCCCTCAGCAGTGTACTTCGGTCCTTCTGCCTGTTCTGCTCCCAGCTCTGGCTCTGGTGAATTCTCTCACCCTCCCGCGCTTCTGACTGTACCCAGTGCATGTATAAACAAAACAAACAAACAAATAAATAAATAAAATAAAATAAAATAAAACATGCCTCTATAAAAAAAAATTAAAAAAAAAACTGTATAAATGAAAAGGGAATTTTTCACCTAGATCAACTTTCTGTTCTACCCTGTTTCTTTCTGGTTTAGGCAAAGCAAAGCATGTCAGGTAATGAGCCATGTAGTAATAGTGCATTGCTCTGTACAGGTAGGGATTTGGGGAAGCCACTTCACTGTATAATATCAAATTAGTTATATAGATTTTTGTTTCAGGAGCATTAAGTATCAGTGGATAAAATATTCAAAACTTATTTCTAAATGAGCGTATGAGATAAGTCATTTGGTTATCTCTCATTTTATCTGGGAAAGCTTTCCCTTCCCCTCTGTTGAACCCAGCATGATTACATGGATTTTCTCTTTTCACAACTACTTTATGGGGTGGATATTATTTTTAGAGCAGTCATTTTGTAAATAAAGAAACTGAGGTTTAGAGTGGTTTTACAATTTGGCAAGAGCTACATAGCTAGAGAATTTAGGCGGCATTAATTTAGATTAAAATTGGTATCATGCTTATAGATATATTTGCAATCTATGTAAATCTGCAGTGTGCTTTTCTTGGTTTAATAAATTCTATTTCAGAGCCTTCTCAGGTCACATAGATAGATCTTTTTAATCATTCCATAAAATTACATATTCCTATATATCATAATTTCGTAAGGCATTTCTCTGTCTGCAGACGTTTAGGTCATTTCCCTTCTTGGGGATTACATATAGTGCTCTAATGAGGTCCTTACACATTCATCTTAGTGCACACTTGTATTTCTGTAAATATTTAGATGTGGCATTTTTAGGTCAAAGTTACTTTTAAAGTATTGACAATTGGTTTCAAATTATGCTTTCCCCCCATATTTTCCCAAGCATATTCTTTCCTGTATCGTCATAGATACTAGATGCTGCAATCTATTTAAAAAAAAAAATCTTATGGATAAATACATCATATCTTCTTCTTTTAGTTTGCATTTGATTAATTTTTTAAAAATATTTATACATGCAAGAACTGGGGTACAGGCCAGAGGTGGGGGGCTGAGAGGATTCACCAGAAACAGAGTGGGGAAGCAGAACAGGCAGAGTGACTGAAATACACTGCTGAGGGGAGAAGTGGACGAGTCAGGAGAGGTCTGCTGCACCATGTGGGTTTCTCCCTGGCCGGCCGGGAATCGAACCCATGCTGCAGTAGCTGCGGATAGCTTCATAGGTTGCGTCTTAACCCCTTGCGCCCCCAGGGAGGCCTGCATTTGATTGATTTCTAATGAACTAAATGTCTTTACATAATTGAACATTACTATTTCTTCACTGAATTCTCATTTTTCCTTTATTTAGACATGTAGTTGCTTGAGTTGACAAACCCTTTACATGCTATGAATATTCGTATTTCATTTTAATATTTGGCATTATTGTCTCCTGGTATTTGACTTTTGTTATAACTTTATTGCGTTTTATTTTGTTGTCCAAAACTTTTTAGCATTGATCTGTAATAATTCCTTTAGTATTTCTTAGATTTGTGGCTTTGTTGGAAGGTTCTCTCTAGATAATGAATTACATATCGGTTCATATTTCCTTTTGGCACTTATATGGTTTATAATTCAATCAGAAGTTTATTTTTGTTAGTTTTATGAAATAGGAATATTTTTCAGATGTGTATTTATTTCATTTTTTCCATACTATATTTGAATAACCTACCATATCTAATTTGAATATAAAGTAGAGGAGTGAAACAGAAAAAAATATAAAAACAGATATTTCTGCTCTTGGGCCAAAACTATGTTGCCTTAAATAAAGTTTTATTATATGTTTTACTGTCTAGTAGGGTGCTGTTTTCACCCTTATTTTATTTTTCAAATGGTTTGTTTTCATGAAAAATGTGGGTGAAATTTAATTTTAATTGCACTGAATGCACATTACATTAGGGCACACTGATATTTACAGTAATTTAGGAACATTAATGTCTTTACAGTACTAAGGATTTTAATCTAGGAACTTTGTATAATATCATACTTACTCAAAGGTTTTTGTATTCTTCAGTTATATTTTATAGAGATAGATATCCTGGTACGTTTGTAGTCAGTAATTTGTAGATATTTTATAATTTCTGACTTTTTGTTATACTTTCTAAAGCATTGTTTTGTATATTCAATTTTTAAAATTCTGTTACTTTACTGAACTCGTATTAGTTTTAACAGCTTTTCAGTTAAATCTCTTGAATTTTCCAAGTGAATAACAGTATAATCTGCAAATAATGAATCTCACTTTTCTTTTTCAATTATTTAGTTTTCTTTCCTTTGTACTCCCATAATTTATCATGCTGTGAGCAAGCTGAAGATGAAAAATATAGTAACATATTATTTCTTTCCTGCAGAAAGAAATTATTTTTCTGCATATATAATAATCATTCCTAGAAGCCTCAAAAGTTATTCAGAGTACAGTACCATTTCCCAATATGTAGCATATAATTTTTTGCTTTATTTAATTTCAGGATACCCTCAAATGAGCTTTATAACCCAGTCTGTTATATCAAATGTATCAAAAAAACATTTAATAGGGATTGTTTTAAGATCCTGTAAAAAAGACAGGGGATTGTAATGTATTTGAAACAGTTTTCCAGTGCTTACTAAATATATATACACATGCATATTATGTGGTAACAAAATTAAGTTGTGGTCCAGAATGAATGCTATTGAAATCCTTATTCTGAAGTCATATTCATGGGTCTATTAGCAGAAGTAGAGGAGTGGCAAGCATTAATGAAATAACTTCCAGTCATATCTGCTGATAATTTCTGGGAAATTAAATTGCAGATCCAGCTAACGTTTGAAAGTTTGCTCTTCCAAGCTAACGTTTGAAAGTTTGCAGATCCAGCTAACTTGTGAAAGTTTGCTCTTCTAGGCTTGCTGTAGTCTACTCAACTGTCTATGTTTTCCAAAAGATGAGGATAGTAGATGGATGGATGGATGGGTGGGTGGGTGGATGCATTCTGTTTAGGGTCTTAGATATGAAATATGTACTCCTTCATTTCTATATTTAAATGTATGAATCCTTATTTATTTATTTAAAGATTTATTTATTTATACAATAACAGGGGTACAGGCCAGAAGTGCAGGAGGGTGTGAGAATTCACCAGAGACAGAGCAGGGAGCAGGGCAGGCAGATGACTGAATAACATGGCTGAGGGGAGCAGAGGGCAAGAGAGGAGAGGTCTGCTGTGCCATGTGGGTATCTCCCCGGCCGGCCAGCCAGGAATCGAACCCATACTGAAGAGGCTGCGGACAGCTCCACAGCATTGCGCTCAACCTGCTGCACCACTGGGGAGGCCCTCCTTATTTATTTTTTAAGACACAACTCAAGTACTCTGTCACATGAAATTCTGCCCTTTCTCAGGAAGATGAAAGTCACTTGGTATATTCCTCTGTTACATCAGTTTGTCGTATTTATTGCAGTTGTTTATTTTGACTTCTGTGTCCCTACAAAGCTGTGAGCTACCTGAGACTGTGCTTTCTCTAATGTCTAGTACAACGTCTGGCATAGAGCTGGTACTCTGTCAATTTGTGATCAATGAATAAGTGTGAAAAGTGATTTCCCAAAGTACATAAGGGAAGTATAAGGGCAAAGGGGCTGCCTGAGAGAAAGTCACAAACCTGGAAATTTAAGAAAAACATTAGTGTATTTTATAGAAGGAAAACAGAAAGCATATTTTATGAAAAGATAAATAAAAATGGCTCAAACTCTACAGTTTAGAAGTCTGCATTTTGATACAGAAATATTTATCCTGTTGGAAGAATATTGCGTGATGCTATGAAAACAGGTTAAAAGTGAGGAAGAAAACCAGTATACATTCTGGTACAAATCCTATATGAGAAGCCTAAATCTTTAGGAACCTAACTACATCCATTTCTGTATTTGCAATATGTATTCCCCGTTAATAGATAAAAATATCATACCGAAGTTGCCAGTTTTCCTTAAACCACACTGCAACTAGGTTGGCCAACTTCGTATTTGTAAATTTGATTTCTTTCAGTTTTGTTCTTTCTGCTGTTTTTATTATTATGTACACTTTAAAAAAACAGCTTCCAGATTTTAGTATTTTGGGAGACATTACAGAGCTGTTCCAAGCATTTTTGAGATACATAATAATTGTCGAATTTAACTGCATGTGTCAGTTTTTATTATTTTAATTGGGCTTGATAAATTATATTTATTTCAAATATTCTTCTGCTCTATGAAAGGAGATAAATATTGGTATCCAAATATTATATTCTGTGGCTACTGTTTTCTCCTAAATTATTAAAAATGATAGAATGCCATACGTTTTTAGAAGACTAAATTTTTTTTCTGATTCAATTTTCCTTTCTTAATATTTCAATTGATTTTAAAAATAAAAGTTGTTTAGAAGAAATTAATTATGTTAATTTGTCAATTTATACTGAATGGATTTTTGCTTTTTCTTTGTAAAGTCAACTTTTGTGGATTATCATTATTTTGTTGACTTCTCATTACAGGTTTTCAACACATATTCCAATGAAGACTATGACAGGAGAAATGATGAAGTTGACCCCGTGGCTGCTTCAGCTGAGTATGAACTTGAAAAGCGTGTGGAAAAGTTGGAACTTTTCCCAGTAGAGCTGGAGAAGGGTATGTGAACTCTACAAGGTTTATATTGTCATTATATTGTTATATCAATAATACGGAAATTATTTTCCCTCAGTAAAGCCTTTTCTAAGGATTAGATAAAGTTTTCGTTCTCATGGAAAATCTTATTCATTAAATTTCAAAATATTGGTTGATATGGATTCTGTATAGATGGTACATTGAGAGCTTTGCTCCCTTCCCTCCCCAACTGAAACCCTTCTACTTAGTTGGTAGGGAAGGGGGTTTAGAGTAAGACGTCATAAGGAGTATGGGCTAATGTTTTGTTGGTACACTTGGCAATGGTTGGTGATGGTAGAGCCCAGAGGCAGTTGTTGTAAGCGAGAACTTAGGGCAGGTGGTTGTGGTTTTTTTTTTTTTTTTTTTTTGGATTGAGAGTGGTCATATTAATAGATGGCTAGACTCCAAATGTGGTAGATATGGGGAATGCTTAGTCTTCAGAAAACACTGAACTTTAAGAATGAAGGCAGTGGAATCTTCTCCATCTATGATGGGAGAAGGCTAAAAGAGTAGAGAGAGCGGAAGAAGGGCTTCTGCTGATTTCTCTTCCTGGAATGATGGCTACCATAACTGGGGACCCACAAGACCAGAAACAGCCGTGTTTATCTTCACCTGGGAACTGGACTGTAGTCCAATGAACTGAAGAATTTCACATCTCAAAGAACTTTGAAAAAGTGGAACAATCACACAGCAGTTTGAATAACAAAAAGGAAACAAGCAGAACCACTAAAGGATATTTAAGTATTACTTAAAAAACACTCTTAAGCAAATTCACAATAATAACTGAAATATTGGTTTTAAAATTAAGCATTCCAGGGCCTCCCCGGTGGTGCAGCGGTTGAGCGCTGGGTTGCGAAGCTGCCCGCTGCCTCTGCAGCGCTGGTTCGATCCCCGGCTGCTCCCCGGCCACCAGAGGAGGGTCCCACATGGCGCGCAGACCTCTCCTGCTGCCCCCTGCTCCCCTCAGCAGTGTACTTCGGTCCTTCTGCCTGCTCTGCTCCCTGCTCTGGCTCTGGTGAATTCTCTCACCCTCCCATGCTTCTGACTGTACCCAGTGCGTGTATAAATAAATAAATCAATCTTAAAAAAAAAAAAAAATTAAGCATTCCAGTACAAGAATTGAAGAGGAAATAATGGTTATTTTTGAAACTCAAATTGGTAACCAAAAGATCAAATCTAAGAAATGTGCCCAATTAATTCTCAAATGATGGAGCAAAAATTCAAGAAAAATCATGAAGGAAACCCAACAGCTAAATTGTAGGCAATAGAAGAGGAAAGACAATGGAAGACAGACTATTAGGCAAGAAATAGCAGAAAATTTTTCTGAGTTGATAAAACCTGCGCCTCATATGTGAAGGGGTTCATTTAATTGGCTGCAAGTGAGGGGACTTTATGGAAAAAAAAACACTTAGGCATGGCCAAAGAAAAAAGTTCTAACATTCGAAGTTAAAAAGGTCTTCTGACATACCACCAGGCTAAAGTGAAAACAGATGCAAAGGTACTTGCAAAGACAAAACCATTAGACTACTAGATTTCTCATTTTATCGTTGAAAGTGGGGAGACATGTAAGTTCACATAATTCTAAGAAGAAAAAGAATGAAGTTCCAGGGATCCTTTTCTATCTCAGATATATTTACCTATCCAGTTGAAAAAAAGAAATTTGCTGGAAAATAAGGATTTAAAGAGAATATCACTCACATGCTTCATGTGAGCAATTTACTTCCCAATTATCAGGGACAAAAATAAATGGAGAGCAACTTGTTTAAAACAGAAGAATAAATAAAAGGAACTGAAAACTTAAGTAAAAGTACATGGACTAAGCATAAAATTGTTTGGATAAAAACATATAAAGAGTACCAGGCCTTATACCAAAGTTGTGTAGCCAATTATTCTCATTAAAAGACACCTTCATGTGAGTAATGCTTAAATTTTTCATTTGTCTAAAAATGTGAAAACCATTTTTAGCTCATGACTCATAAAAACAGCTGGATTTAGCTGTAGTCCATTGTATTGCATATAGTAGAAAACATGAGAACAGTTCAAATATTTGACGATGATAGAAAAGTCTATATAAAGTGTAGCATCTGTATTCAATAAAATATTACTTAATAATAAAAGTGAGACAACCTTAGTTTCACATAGCAGGACTTATTATCCTTACATACCTGAAATTGTGAGGATGAAAATTATAGCAAATCACAGAGGAAGCCATTTAATATAATTCAATTTATTTACATTTCAAAACCAGGAAAAATGGGCAGCAGATCTCTCAAGTCTTACCCACTGCTTTTCTTAGCAGTATATTTCAATAAATCCACGTTTTCTGTTCTCCCCCCCCCCAAAAAAAAAAAAAAAACCAGGAAAAATGAATCAGCATATTGTCTAGAGAAAATAAGTAGTTTAGTAAAGTAGTATTAAGAAAAGGAGGGAGTGATTCATACAATATGAAGAATAATAATTATGTGGGAAGACATGATATCAGGGAGGGGTATTGTAGACTTTTTGGGTTATTGGTAATGTTTTTATCTTTGTTAGGATATGGGTTTTTTTTTAAAGAAACAGTCTTTTGTAGCTACATGTTTTTATAAACTTTGGCATCCTATATTTCATAATAAAAATTAAGATAGAAAAATTAAACTAGCAAAGTAACGATTACATTACTTTTAAGAGTTTTGAGGAACCTATTGCATACTCTTCATACCGGCTGCACCAGTTAACATTCTCACCAACAATGAACAAGGGTTCTTTTTTTCCTGCATTCTCACCAAAATTTATTATCTCTTACTTTTTAAATAACAGCCATTTTAACAAGTGTGATTATCCCATTGTTTTGATTTGATTTTCCGTCATGATTATCCACATTGAGCATATTTTTATGTATCTGTGTATCTTCTTTGGAAAAATATCTATTCAGTTTTTTCCCCTACTTTTTAATCAGATTTGAATTTTTGCTATTGGGTTGCATAAATTCTTTATATATGTTGCATAATAATTCCTTTTTAGCTATATGATTTGCAAAAATTTTCTCCCATTCCATAGTTGCCATTTCATTCTGTTGATGATTTCCGTAGTTTGTATAGTTCCTCTTCTTATTTTGCTTTAGTTGCTTTTGTTTTTGATGCAAAATGTAAAAAGTCAATGCCAAGACTGATGTCACGAAGCTTTAGCCCTTAAATTTTCTTCTAGGACTTTTATTAATTTCAGGTCTTAAATTTAAGTCTTTACTCCATCTCAAGTTGATTTTATAGAATATGTGTCTAGTTTTATTCCTTTGCATGTCATTTTACAGGTTTCCTTGCACCCTTTATTGGAGAAGCTATTCTTTCCTCATGTATATTCTTGACTCCCTTGTTGTAAATTAAGTGATCAAATATACATAATTTTATTTCTGGACTTTCTTCTTTTTCTTTGATCTATGTGTCTCTATTTATGTAGACCCATTAGTATTTTGTAATATAGTTTGAAATTAGGAAGCATAACACTTTCAGCCTAATTCTTTCTTTAGATTGCCTTGGCTACTCAGAATTTTTTGTGATCCCACACAAATTTTAGGATTATTTGTTCTATTTCTGTGAAAAATATTGTTCTAAAAGCTTGTAATTTGTTTTGTTTTTATTTTTTTTTAAATTTACTTATTTATGCGTACAAGAGCTGGGGTACAGGCCACAGTTGTGGGGAGTGAGAGGATTCACCAGAGACAGAGTGGGGGACAGAACAGGCAGACTGACTGAAGTACACTGCTGAGTCGAGCAGCAGAGAGGAGAGGAGCGAGTCAGGAGAGGTCTGCTGTGCCATGTGGGTTGCTCCCTTAGCCGGGGATTGAACTCGTGCTGCAGAGGCTGTGGATTGCTTCATAGTGTGGTGCTTAACCCCTTGTGCCACCAGGGAGGCCCAAGCTTGTTATTTGTTTATAGAAACCTAAATATGATAGAAACTATAGATGATAATACCAGAGAATTCTGCTTTTACATTGAGGAATATAATAAATATTTCAGTTAAAATCAAAAATCATATTTGGAATGTTCTTTAAATGTAATAATCCATATAAACAATAAAATATTAAAGATGAAAGGTAACCATTTGCTAATATATACATATAGTGTAACATGCTGTATATTATAAATATATCCATTAAATACAAAAAACAAAATATGCATGTGAAAAATCAAAATGATTCTAATTTTAATATAGTAGAATTTAAAAGATTATTGTAAAAGATGAAGTCACATTCAACATACGTAAGAAAATTTACAATTTTTTTTTCTCCTCTGTAATCAAATTAAGAACGTAGGAATGAAAATAGGTGCAGTACTTAATTTATAGTAGTACCAAAACACAAAATAATTCTTTAATTAGTAAGAAAAATATAGAATTTATCTGTAAAAAGTACATCTTTTTGAAAGATGTAATATCTAAACAAGAGATATATTCTTTTTTAAAAATGATTTATTTATTTATGCATACAAGAGCTGGGGTACAGGCCAGAGATGCGGGGGGTGAGAAGATTCACCAGAGACAGAGGGGATAACCGAACAGGCAGACTGAGTGAAATAAACTGCTGAGGGGAGCAGCGGGTGAGACAGGAGAGGTCTGCTGAGCCATGTGGGTTGCTCCCTGGCCGGCTGGGTATTGAACTCGTGCTGCAGAGGCTTCGGATTGCTTCATAGTGCAGTGCTCAACCCCTTGTGCCACCAGGGAGGCCCACAAGTAGATATATTCTTGGACGAAAGGACGTGGCATAGAAAAATTTCTCCTATGCGATATGTCTGATGCCTATAAATTAATATATAAGTATAATGCAGTTCAAATAGAACTACTATAAGAATTAGGTTGGAAGAGGGGATTACATAATATAGTATTACATTTTATTTGGAAAAATATAGACCTAAGGGAAATATGAATAAGAATGTGAAAGATTTTGACTTCCCATATATCTGAATACAATGTAAACCTCTGTAATCAGAATAAATTGTATTCACATAGAAATTGATCAGTGGAACAAAATAGGAAATCCAGGCAAACACATTAGTAAGTATGAGTATTTAATATATGACACATATGATGCTCTTTTAGAAGTAACCAGGTGCTGGGCCTCCCCTGGTGGCACAGCAGTTGAGCGCTGGGTTGCGAGGCTGCCTGCAGCCTCTGCAGCGCCAGTTTGATCCCCGGCCATGGGTGAGGGTCCCACAAAAAAAAAAAAAAGAAGTAACCAGGTGCTTTACCAGTTGTTCTCACATGAGTTAGCATATATCTGAAAGAATTGAAAGTTGCACACCTTCTGTAGTATGATACAGAAATATTATACATGAATTAGACAATTAAATATTGAAAATAAACATGTTTTGTGGAAAATTTATGACATTTGTCATCCAGGCTTTTATAACAGAGGGTCTTAACCAAAATGGAAAAGCAGAAGTTGCAAAATAGAAGATGGTGCAATTCAATCATACAAAATTTTTAAGCTTTTAAAAACAACATTGTCCAACAAAGCCATAGATAAGTGAAAAATCTAAGGAACTGGGAATCTTCATTGTAGACAACATGGAGTTAATATCTATTATCATGCTAAGAATCTTTGCAGATTACCAAGAATAAAAGACAGTTAAAACTCAGTAGGAAAACTGGCAGTTTACTGAAAAGGAAGTTTAATGCCCCACCTCATGTGATAACATGCACAAATCTCACTGGCACCTAGGAGTGCTAATTCCTAAACCAACATGAGCTTCTCTCCTCATGAGAAAAAGTAAGTTCTGAGTTCCTAAGTAAGGCAATAGCAGCTTCCATAATAACACAGTATAACACAGCCTCAAGTGTTTTCCATCTTTTCTGTCTTTTTCTGACTGCTTTGCCTAATTAATGCTCTGCCAGTCTTGAGGAAGGTTCCTAGAGAGGAAGAGAGGTAACTTGTGGGTGTGTGGCAACACAGCCCTGGGACTCGGAGACCTTCACTTATGTGGTCCTGGACTTCCTCCACACTTGACACATCTCAGAGAAAACTATACAAAAATTAATTGATATGTGGTCCCTGTGGGTTGATTATACCCTTGCTTTAATTGCCTTTCACTTATCCCCATGTCTTTCAGGAAGTCTACTCTGAAACTCAGGATAACTTAAGTTAATAACTTCCCACAGTTAGGTTTTAAGTTCTGCAAATCTGAGTAATTTTCCAGTTGGAGCAATAAGAGAAGCTATGGAAGGAAAAAATTTATTTTTACTGAGGTCTGAGTTCAGGCAGGGAAAATGGATTTAAAAGCTAAGACATAATTTTCATGCAGGATATTTGCAGGAAGAAACTATTTAATGGCATGACAGTTCAAGAGATTCCACATTTGAGAGGAACCTTTTGAATGTGCTGTAGTGAGTGTGGGAAAGTTTCACTTATAGTTCTACATTAGCTCAAAGTGAAAATTCATAACAAAGAGGAACTCCTCTGTATGCAATGATTGTGAACTAGAATTCAACTAATGTGTAATATACACCAGAGGTTGCATACAAGAAGCAAACCCAATGATTCAATGTGGAAGAGTCTGCAATAATCATCTCTTAACACAAGAACAAACACACTGAGGGGGAAAATTTTATGGATGTAAACACTATGGGAAGATTTTTGGTCATTATTCATCCCTTCATAAACATGAACAAATTTATGCTCTAGCGAAACCCTGTGGATATATGAACATGGGCAAGAATTCAGCTATACAGCTAAACTTTATAAACACGAGAGAATTCATGTGGAAGAGAAGAAACCTTATCCATGTGCCCAATGAAGGAGAACCTTCAACACAGATGTAACTTTCATGAGCATGTGAAAATTCCTTTCTCGGAGAATAAAATGAACTGTAATGAATGTTAGAAAATATTTACTAAGAAAAATTCTTTTGATGAACATGAGCATTTACACCAGAGAAACAATCAAAATGAAATAAATATGGAATGTCACATGCATTAAACATCCTGAGTGTAAAGAATAAAGGAAAGTCTCCAATGTTCACTTATACATTAGTTAATATTAAAGTTCCTACCCTGGAGAGTGGAAGTGCCTGCAGCTGGGGATCAAATCAGACAGTTCATCCAGGGAAACACTCTATAAAGCTTCTTTTAGAACACAACTGAGAAAATTGGTCACTTTTGCCAAAATACATATTTTTAAACATGTAAAGATGTAGTATTATGAACTGTACTTAGAAATACTTAAGACAGAAGTTTGTGACAAGTAATAATGAGATGAACCCTATTCAAAAGGTTACTAAGTTAAATTAAAGGTTATTGCTAAAATCGCTTTTAAAAAATGTCAAACATATACTGTTGAGTACGTGAACCAGTTTTCCTTTAATAATCCATCACTGTTGATCAACTATTATCTATTTTTTATGCAGGTAATACACCATGATTACAAAGACTGGTGCTATTGTATAACGATTTTGAATGTTAATCTAAAATGTGGAATGTGGGCCTCCCCGGTGGCGCAGTGGTTGAGTGCTGGGTTGCAAAGCTGCCCGCAGCCTCTGCAGAGCCGGTTCGATCCCTGACTGCTCTCCGGCCACCAGAGGAGGGTCCCGCATGGCGCGCAGACCTCTCCTGCCGACGCTGCTCCCCTCAGCAGTGTACTTCAGTCCTTCTGCCTGCTCTGCTCTCTGCTATGGCTCTGGTGAATTCTCACCCTCTGGCGCTTCTGACTATACTCAGTGCTTGTATAAATTAAAAAAAAAAAAAAAAAAGGGCCTCCCCGGTGGTGCAGCGGTTGAGCGCTGGGTTGCGAAGCTGCCCGCGGCCTCTGCGGCGCCGGTTCGATCCCCGGCTGCTCCCCTGCCACTGGAGGAGGGTCCCACATGGCGCACAGACCTGTCCTGCCGCCCGCTGCTCCCCTCAGCAGTGTACTTCGGTCCTTCTGCCTGCTCTGCTCCCCCGCTCTGGCTCTGGTGAATTCTCTCACCCTCCCGCGCTTCTGACTGTACCCAGTGCATGTATAAACAAAACAAACAAACAAACAAACAAACAAATAAATAAAACATGCCTCTATTAAAAATAAATAAATAAATAAAAATAAAAAATCTTAAAAAAATTTTAAAAAAATAATAAAATAAAATAAAATGTGGAATGCAAAATAGTGTATTTTACTTGATTGATGTTGATATATATATATATACACATACACACATACATACATATATACACATACATACATACATACTCATATATGTTCATGGAAAGGACAAGTAGAAATGTGAATAAACAGGTGCTTTATAACTGAATTGAAGAATGTGTTTGTCAGTATCATTCACAGGGGCAATAAAATTAAACAAAAGTGAGTGGCTGTCGGTAGAGAAATTGTTGGATAAGTTATCATATCATCACACCATGAAATATAGTGCAGTCATTAGGGGACTTTGCAAGTTGATATCCAGAAGGTATCATTAAATTAGAAAAGCAATGTGCTATTTGGTGTCAGCCAAATAGGGAGGATTGCAAGTTGTATCTATGTGTATGCATGTATGTAGTTGCAGTATTGAAAGTATTGAAAGATGCATGCCATGCAACTACATAAATAAAGGGGATATTCCAGATATGCTATAGTCATATTTATTTAAAATTATATATATAAAATCATATATATTTAAAATTATATATAATCATATATATTTAAAATTATATATAATTGAAAATATATAATACACATGCATATTATATATATTATACACATATATGTGTGTGTTCAAGTATGTGTGCTTTTATGCTTAAAATACTATATTTTTCAGAGACAATGTGTCATAAGTCAGATTAATTACTCAGTAATCAGATTGTTACGTTTTCTTGGCATCACAATGTATAGCCGACTGCAATAGTAAAAAGTGACAAGCCTTTTGGGAGGGGTCTTATTTGGCACTCTTGCTCCCCAGCATAGAAAGCAATTTTGCCGACACCTATACATCATGTGCCTGATCCATAAAGAAGAATAAAATTAAAAGTCTGCAAATAGGCTTCACCAGCTAATTTTGGGCTATTGTAAAATTTAGATTTTTTCATTTTTCCCCTTTTTCATAGATGAGGATGGACTTGGTATAAGTATTATTGGAATGGGTGTTGGAGCAGATGCTGGACTTGAAAAGCTGGGAATTTTTGTCAAGACAGTTACAGAAGGTGGTGCTGCTCAGCGGGATGGCAGGTAAGCTAACTAACTATAGCTGAGATCTTCCAGGAAGCTCCCTTGGGAATTCCTTCAATGATACCTTTCTTCTTTTGGACAGTATTTCAGAAAGTCTCAGGTGTGAAAAATGTGAAAACCCTTGAATTACTTGAATTAGGCAGAATACCTGCTTTCTTTAATATATGTTTGTATGTATAAATGGGTGGATGGATATTTTACTTATGTGTCTACCTTTGTACCTATCCAGTGGTAAGTAGACAGAAATATGGGTGTGTGTGGTTTAAGAATATGTACCATGGAGATCAGCATATAGTTTTTCTTAAAGAATATCAAAACCAAATATTAATGGTACTGGCACTTTTAGAAATGACAGAGGTGGAAGAGAAAATAGGAACTGTAACTTTACATTGATGGTTATTCTGGAGATCAATGTATCTCAAAATGTGTTCTGTCTAAAAATGCCAGTTCTGGGCCTCCCCGGTGGTGCAGCGGTTGAGCGCTGGGTTGCGAAGCTGCCTGCAGCCTCTGCAGTGCCAGTTCGATCCCCGGCTGCTCCCTGGCCACCAGAGGAGGGTCCCACATGGCGAGCAGACCTCTCCTGCTGCCTGCTGCTCCCCTCAGCAGTGTGCTTCGGTCCTTCTGCCTGCTCTGCTCTCCGCTCTGGCTCTGGTGAATTCTCTCACCCTCCTGCGCTTCTGACTGTACCCAGTGCTTGTATAAATAAATAAATAAAAATAAATCTAAAAAAAAAATAAAAATAAAAAATAAAAATGCCAGTTCTTTATGTCACCTAAACCCATGGAATTAAAATCTCTAGGAGGGCTTGGACTGTTTGCACTTGAACATTCATATTGGATGATTCAACTATATACTAGAGCATAAGATAATCATAATTTTATGTGTTAACTTATATCATCTCAAGTGATCAGTATCTTTGAAGAGTTTGATTAAAGCTTACACTAGGCTTGTAATGTGCATCAGGTTAGGGCTGAAGCAGAAGGTTGGTGATAAAAATAAAAGTAGACCCCAAAATATGAGTGTTAAATTCAAAGGAATATCCCCCATTCTTTAGAACATAGGATAACTGACTTTGAAAATTTTCAGAGAATAGATATATTTATATATATAATCACTTAACTGTCTTATCAAGAAATATGAATAGTAAAGCATGGTGAAAATCATTTGTGAATCTCTGTTGAGACTCACAGTAGCATTATTCCTTTTGTGATCCTAAAAAAGTCACATATTGATGTATACAGATATTTCCTGAGAACTGAATTGATTTATGTAAATAGACAGGACCATCTCTTTTCATAAGGTTAGGAACCACTACTTAGTGTCCTCATTTGTGTTTTCATAGCACTTGAACAGTGAAGGTTTGAAATGGATCTTTTCAGTGAATGTTCAGCTGACTGAGTGTGTAATATACTGAAAGTGGGAGGTGAATATTTTGTGTTTAAAAGTAATTTATTGACAGTCTTCTTCCTTTTTAGATTAGGTAAGGAAGTCACCTGGTTAAATCACATCCAATAAATAACATAATGAATGTAGTAAATATTCCCCATTATTAATTTAGAATCTTTCTTCCAAATGAGCTAAGATTTGTTTGTGAAATTTGCATCAAGTCTCTTTAAGTTTCATGAAACAATTAAAAGTCACTCTAAAGTGATAAAAAATAAATCTTATTGTTAGTATTCAGGTAACGCTAAACTATTATGAACCATCCCCCCAAGTAAATGGACTGCAAAGTCAAACCAAAATACAAATTGATTAAAAAGCCAAGAAGTGAAAAATTTGCATTCAGCATATAGCCAGTTTCTGATGTTTTAAACTCAGAGCTATTTGTTTTTTCATCACTCATTAAAAAAATTATGTTTGTCTTCTTACATAGTTTCAGTATTTACACCAATATGAGTACTTTGCTTATCAGTCCCAGTGTGCATTTCCTCAGCCTTTGCAAAAAAATATTTACCCAGTATATTAATCCTATTGTTATTATAATAGCTGATTAAAAATGACCTCAGTGAATATATTAAGAAAGGTAATTTAGTGTAATGAAATGAGCAAACTTTGGGGGAATCATGTGACCAAGAGTCTTAATTCCATCACATCTACTTATCAGCTGTGGGATATTGAATATATTATTCAATTTTCATGTTGTCTACATTGGAGAGGTGTGGTCAGCATTAAATAAGTTTGTGTAAAGAAGAAACTGACCCCAGTGCTGTTTGGGTATGGAACTACTTATGAATGAAGTAGGAATAAGCTTGAAATTTAGTAAAAAAAAAAAAAAAGTCATTATGGGATGTCTTATAAAAACTACAGAAAAATATATAAAATATGCACAGAAACAGATTTTTGGAGATCAGAGGGACTTTAGACACCTTTCCTTTTTTCATATGTGTACAGAAATTGAAGATAGGAAAATAAGTGGTCTCATTATTAGACCTGTGGCAGTGGTAGCATTTTAAAATGATTATTGCCAACATTACTAGTGTATTCATTTACTTGGTATTTGAATGTTTACTATTTGAAAGGTATCAACGTAAAAAAAGTACAAAGGGCACAGTTGGTTGCTGTCTCTAGTCATTAATAATTTGTTTAGTTATGTATACTTAAAGATATAGAAAATTATTCTACTGATTTACAGAACTGTGACTGTTGTGATCTTCTTGTGTGTATATGTTTTCTGTTTATCCATTCCCCAACATTACTCTCTCAAAAATCCTGGAATTGATATCCGCCAAACTATTGAATGACTCTAATATGCGCTATTTTAAAAAAAATCAGTTATTATGGAATATTTTGATAGAAAATATTCATACATGGGTATATAAGCTACAGTTAAAATATAATAAAATAATAATAAAATTATGCGACCTTGAGAAAGTTACTTTTCAGACATCAGTTATGAACAAAATTAAATTTTTGGATTAGATGTTCTTCATAATTTCTTCTAGCTGTAAAAGATAAGAATCTGTGTTACATCTTGCTAGCTTTCTTTAGTTTCTCAATAACTCTTTTTATTTAAGAAAACCATTTTAGTTTAGTCTCAGATTTGTTTGCACTTTCTTCAAGGTATGTTAAATAAAAACATACAATATACGAAACTATTTTCTCTCCCTCCTCAAATTCCTCCCCAAGCCAGGAAGCCTTTTTGTTATGATCTAAACCTCTCATAGACCCTCACCTCCTCTCAAAAACCCTCTGAGCACTTTTATTTTTTTTTTTTTTTTTTTTTTTTTTTTATTTTTTTTTTGTAATAAAATTAAAAGTTAGAGTTTTATTTTATTTTTTTTTTTTTTGATAATGGTGGGCTCCTCATTGGTTCTTTTTTTTTTTTTTTTTTAATAATAAATTTTATTGTTGTATTCCCCATACAATTGCAGCCCCCCATTCTGACCCCAATCCCTCCCCTCCCGCCCCCACCCCCCTAAAAGTGTCTCTGGTTCATAGTTTTTTGTTGATTTTGATTTTCACTTTCTTATAGTTATTCGTTTTCCTGGTCCCTTATTTAAGTTTTCTAGATTCCTGCTATGAGTGAGACCATCCGGTATTTTTCTTTTTCTTTTTGGCTTATTTCGCTGAGCATGATCCCTTCCAGCGCCATCCATGTTGCTGCAAATTGCATGTGTTTATCTTTTTTGAATGCTGAGTAATATTCCATGGTATATATGGACCACATCTTCTTGATCCAGTCATCTATTTTTGGGCATTTGGGTTGTTTCCAAAGCTTAGCTATTGTAAACAGTGCTGCTATAAACATAGGGGTGCAGGTGTTCTTTGGAATTGATGTTTCTGTGTCCTTTGGGTAAATACCTAGGAGTGGAATTGCTGGATCATATGGAAGCTCTATGTTTAGTGGGTCCAGAAATCTCCACACAGCTTTCCACAGTGGTTGGACCAGTTTGCACTCCCACCAACAGTGTAGAAGAGTTCCTTTTTCTCCACACCCTCGCCAGCATTTGTTGTTGCTAGTTTTTTTAATATGTGCCATTCTCACTGGTGTAAGATGGTATCTCATGGTAGTTTTGATTTGCATTTCCCTGATGGCAAGTGATGTTGAACATTTTTTCATATGCCTGTTGGCCATTTGCATTTCCTCTTGAGAGAAGTTTCTTTTTAGCTCTTCTGCCCATTTTTTGACTGGATTATTTTCTTTGTTGTTGTTGAGTCTCATCAGCTCTTTGCAGATTTTTGTGATCAGTCCTTTATCATTAGTGTTGGGTGCAAAAATGTTCTCCCAGTTGGTGGGGTTTCTCTTTGTTTTTGTTATTGTCTCTTTTGCTGTGCAGAAGCTCTTTAATTTGATGTAGTCCCAGCTGTTTATCTTTGCCTTCACTATCACTGCTTTGGGTGATGTGTTTGTAAAGATGTCTTTGATGTGCAAATCACGTAGTGTTTCGCCTATATTTCCTTCTATATATTTTATGGTTTCAGGTCTTATGTCTAGTTCTTTAATCCATTTTGAGTTGATTTTTGTGTATGGTGTGAGGTAGTGGTCAAGCTTCATTCTTTTGCATGTAGCGACCCAGTTTTCCCAGCACCATTTATTGAACAAACTTTCTTTGCTCCAATGCATAGTCTTTGCTCCTTTGTCAAAGATTAGTTGACCATAAATCTGTGGGTTTATTTCTGGATTTTCTATTCGATTCCATTGGTCTGTATGTCTGTTCTTGTTCCAATACCATGCAGTTTTGATGATTATGGCTTTGTAGTAGAGTTTGAAGTCTGGGAGTGTAATGCCTCCATTCCCTTCTTTTTTTTTCAGGAGAGCTTTGGCTATTCGGGGTTTTTTGTGATTCCATATGAATTTCATCAATAATTGTTCTATTTCTTTGAAGAATGACATTGAAATTTTGGTTGGAATAGCGTTGAATCTGTATATTGCTTTTGGAAGGATGGCCATTTTAATAATGTTTATTCTTCCAATCCACGAGCAGGGGATGTCTCTCCATTTCTTTGTGTCTTCTTCTATTTCTTTTAACAGTGTTTTATAGTTTTCTTTGTATAGGTCC